GTGAGAGGGAGAGAGAAAGGGAGAAAGGGGGGGCGGGGGAGAGGGGGGCGACCGCGGTGTGTGTGTGTGTGTGTGTGTGTGTCGAAGAAAGAGAAATCCGTGGCGTTTCTCGTCAAAGCTGCGCGCACTTGGCGCAGGGAGCCGCGCAAATAACCAAAAAATTACCAAATAAAATCTAGGAAAAAATATTTATTTAGGAAATTATAAAAAAAAAACAACAACAAACCATTTTCTCTCTTTAATCTCAATCTGACAGATTATCACTGACGGCTGCTGTGAATCTCCGTGCGCCAAAAAAAAACACAAAATGCCCCAGCGCGCACACACACACGCACACACACACACACTCGCACCACGATGATGATGAAGCGTTGACATGAAGCAGGGCGCGGTGATCCGCCGCTCCGCCGCGCCGCCGCGCCGCTCTCACCTTTTCTGGTAACTTTACGCACAAGCTTCAACTCCGGCTGCCGCGGAGTTCGCGTCCGATTTTTTTCGCCGCCGCTAAAAGTTTATCCTCCAGTCGTGGCTCGTCACATCCCAGCCCGGGCGCAGCGCAGTGATTTCCTGAGTGGAAGCCGGAGGACGCGGTCCTACAGTCAGCTACAGGTGCTCCGTGGCTGCGTTCCTCCCTCCGCCCGGTGTGGAGCGTGCAGTGTGCCGAGAGGAGACCGCGCACCACGAGCGGTGGAGAAGGAGGGACCGAGGGAGGGTCGTTCAAATCTAAGAAAACTATAGACTCCAACCCCTCACTGCAACAACATTATTTACCGAATGCAGCGTGTGTCAAAGTAGGGGGCGTGGACCTGCTGTCGGGGCGGGTTCGGTACAGATCCGGTCCCAAACACCGGAAGTTGATCTGGAGTTTATGCGGCTAAACCCGTGGTTACATTAACTTTGAACACATACAGAACCATTCACACTCACATTCACACTCACATTCACACTCACATTCACACTCACATTCACACCTGTGGTCCATTTAATCTGGTCCACATTCTGGAACCGACCTGAAAACCTTCCTGACCTTCAAACAGACACCAGTAGTGACCACTAGGGGAGTGAACAGCTGACGTTCCTCACACACGGTCACAGTGATGTTCACCTGAAGGCACCACGGGCGGCAGATCCATTTCTCTGAACCTGACAATGTGACATTCTTCTCCTCACCTCACGTCACCTCACGTCACGTCACGTCACGTCACGTGACTCCCGTGTTCCGTGACCGCTGAAGCTCATTATCTCCTCGTCTTTATTTAAATCATCTCTGTGATTAAGACACTGAAGGATTCTGTTCTAGCGCCGCGTTGTTGACTGGACGTCACCCCCCACTCTCACCCCTCTCCCCCTCCCCCTCCCTCACCCCTGACACACATATACACGTGAATACACACTCGTGGCAATAATTCAACATCTTTACGATATTTTTCAACATGGGATGATGTTCGGATCCCGTGAACGCATCACCGAACACCGAGGTTGAGGAATCGAACTTTGTCCTCACAGCAATACACACACACACACACACACACACACACACATATATATATATATTACTGACTGACTGACACAGCAGCAGCCGATACTGAAGCTTCCAAAAAAAAAAAAAAAAAAAATCACAGATCACTCGTTTTAACCCATGGAAAAATTTACAACAAAAGTGAATGTTTTTATATCAGAAAGATTCGAGAGGTAACGGACCCTCTCTCTCTCTCTCTCTCTCTCTCTCTCTCCCTCACCACATTATCACGGTCTGCTGACACACACACACACACACATATACTTACTGTACACACACACACACACACAGAGACACACGGGGAGAGTGTGACAAGTTAATAGTTGGCGTGCGGCTCCAGCCTAAACCGCAGCGATAATGAGACGCTCATAAAACGCTCTCCGCGCCGTCATGACTGATGAGATGCATTAAAGTTGACAGGGTATTACCTGCCAGTAATTAGGTTTTGTCATGGATTGAATTATTTCAAGGCGGCCCTATCTTGGTAATCATGCAATTTGCTGCGCTGTGGTGGTGTGTGTGTGTGTGGTGAGGATGAGAGACAGAGAGACAGAGAGAGAGAGTGTGTGTGGTGTGTGTGGTGAGGGTGAGAGAGCAGGGGAGAGAGAGAGAGAGAGGCACCTTTCTCCACTCACTGCGTTCCGCGTATTATTTTCATTTTCAGACCGTGAGTGTGAAAGAGATGCGCAGCCGAGGTGGAGGTGGAGGTGGAGGTGGAGGGAGGGAGGGGGGTTCGAGTCCCTTCATTCATCCACTGTATGTCTACGCCGTGTGTATCTGACCCCAACACACCCTGAACTGTCTGTGTAATAACAACGACGGCTCCAGAGTGTGGCGCTGGAGAACTTTTTTTTTAAATTTCTCATCTTTACATCCACGCACACCCACACGCGCACCTACCTTGAAGTACAGCCGGGGGGACAGCAGGTGCGGCGGCGCCGTTTTCTCCGCTCTCTCCGCTTAAATGTCCACAAAAAAAACAAACTTCTTTCCTCAACTTGGACCAACTCCTGGGTTTCGTTCTGATCAAACTGGGCCACGAGGAGTTTCTTTATGTCTTTTCTTTGTTTTTGTTTTTTCTAAAAAAAAAAAGTTGTATCAAAGTTGCGCGGACGTCGCGATGACTCCAGCCCCCCCTGCAGGTGACACGTCCAGGAGGATATATTACCCAGCAGCAGCAGCAGCAGCAGCAGCAGCAGTGGCATCAGCAGTAGCAGCAGCCCAGTCGGTCGGGTGTGTGTGGAGCCCCCGTCTCTCTGTGGCTCAGTGGCAGAGGAGGAGAGCCGCCCAGACTCCTCTCCTATTTAAGCCCCCTCCACCAGGTCCCCAGTCAGCAGCGCACTCCAGCTCTCATCCAAGAAGCCTGACAAGCAGCGTTAGGAAAGGCAGCGCATGTTGCTCTAATGGACCTCATTAAGCTCTACTTACAGATGTTCTCTTAACATAATTGATCTGCAGCGAGTTGAGAGGACGGCAACCTTATTCCCCAGCCCCCAATTATGGCCCGGTAATTAGATCCCCAACCTCCAGCTCTCCACACTCACCCTTCTAACATTCCCAAATATCAAAGTATCTTTCTCTCAAAGCGACCGCCCTCTCCTCCTCCTCCTCCTAGTGCAGCCAGACTCCGACTGACAGAGCTCACTCATTCACTCCCCCAATCCTCCTTCCCCTCTCTGTTCTGCCTCTCACCCTCCCTCGCTTCGTCGCTCCCTCCTCTCCTCCCCTCTCCTCTCCTCCCCCCCCCCCCCCCCCCCCCCCCACTCCTCTCCTCCCCTCCCCTCTCCCCCCCTCTCCTCTCCTCTCCTTCTTCGGGAGGGAAACAGCGCGAGTGCCGTGATTTGGGGGAAGAATAAGAGAAAGAAGAAACGATAGAAACGAACCGAACCGAACCGAGTTAAAACAGAACTGTGAACAACGATTTTAAAAGATAACATCGCTCGGTTAAAACCGTTATTTATCGTCGGGTTTTATTTGATTTATGTGGAGCAGTTCCTGTAATGGTTACTTTAAGGGTTGGAGACAGAGGCGTGTGCAGATAATTCAGGGGTGAATGTCAGGAAAGTGCGCCTCCACCGTTTTTTCTGGGGTATTTATATTCATGTAATTATTGTTTTTTTATTAGTAACCACGGAGTAGTTATATTTAGCTGTTTTTTAAATATTTATTAAACATTTATTGTACTCCAAAAAAAAAACAAACAAAAAAAAAACTTTAGCGGTTTCTTAAATATTTATTACACATTTATTGTACTCCAAAAAAAACAAAAACAAAAACGTGTACTGGACAGTTTTACTACAGTTAACTTGCAGTACCACAGTAAACCACATTTTACAAGTATTCTTTTTCGCAGATTTCTTCGTATATTAAAAATGTTAAATTTCCAATTTTTCAGTATTTTTGTGATTTTGTAACATGCAATAAATAACCTCTACGTACGGGTGGTAAAAAATTTGTTAATTTTTTTTTGCCATATTTCACGACATACGATGCCTCCTAGAGGGTTTGTAAAGGGTTAATATATATATATTAATAATATAATAAATATCGCGTCTCTACTTCGTTGTTTTTTCCCTATCGTGGGAGGTCTTGTAACGTAACGCCTGCGATATTCGAGGGACCAGTGTACATCGTATCGTTGCCCCTGTTTCCTTATAGGTATCGTATCGCGATACGTATTGTATCGCGATACGTATTGTATCTCCAGATTCTAGTCAATACACAGCCCTACTAAATAAACATATATAAAATATGATATATATGAAATACATAGACATATACACACATATATGTATGACATGACATAAATATATTTCCTGGTTTCCCTGGTGAGACAGATGATTGGCTGTCAGTAAAAGATGGGATCGTACCACGTGATCATGTGACGTTTGGAAGAAATCCTGTTGACAAGAACAAGGACAAGAGTTTTTTATTAGTACTACTTCATCGTTTACAGTACATTATTAAATATAATCACACGAGTACTGGTGGAGCCTCGAAGTAGAGAGTACGTGGTAATGAGCCGTGACCACGGTTTGTCCGTGTTCACGCTCTTCACACGAGGACTTTGACATTTCCACGAGGACGTCCTCACAGAGGAGTCGTCTCAGGCCGTCCAGCGGCTGAAGGACCCCCACATCCACGGCCCGCGCCCCAGAGAGGACCCAGTACACTAACCCACCGAGCCGCTTTTTTAAAGACACTCTCAGTAATTGCTAACGGTTTATAACCTTCAAGTGGGGGTCGAGGGATACGTCATTTTAATGACAACTTCTTCGTATCAGGTCGTGTTTTTTTTTTTGTCTTTCGGCGGCGGAGTGAAGTGTCTTATT